CCATTGTGCCCATGCGCTTTGTTCCGCCTGCCGGAGCGAAACCTGTCAGGCCGGGCCGAGTTCGGCCGACCTGGAGGCCTCCGCTGAGGGTCGGGAACAGCATGGCCCACGAGGCCACGTCAACTGGGCCCAGTGACTGTGAACTGTTGGAATTTACGTCATTCTACCGAAACGTTCGCCGGTGGATTTTACTGTCTCTCGGCCAGTCTCCGCTCCGGCCAACCTGACGACTGGCAGGAAAAATTGAGAGGCTGCTCAAACCGGTTTTCTCGCCCAAATGTTAATCACCGACTTGGCGATGATACGGGCGGATCTTCACAGTTCCCGATTGTATCTTCCATCTCCTACTGACCCTCTCATGTGCACGCCCTCCCTCGCCATCGGTAAGTCCGGAGTCATCTTCTCTCGGTCCTGTAGACGAGCTGGAGAGCATTCTGAGGAGCAGTGAGTTCTCTGAAAAGTAGACGGTCAGGAGGTCGACTCGTCTCTGCCACAACCGCATAATCGAGACGGTCATCATCGCAAGTATGGAGCCCACGTCCATTTTGCGAGAAACTATGCGATGGGTTGCATCATAAGACGACGTCAGAATCATCTTGATCAGCTGCCAATTGGTTTTACTGCAGCAGAATTGTTGATGATAATGTGCTGAGCCTTCATCCTTCGTAGGACGGACATCATCAGAGCAGGGCATTCTTCACAAGTTTACGAGACAAGAGGATCGTTTTAAGAATGATGTCCGTCATACGAGGAGGAGATTGCCTCGGAGCCAACATCAACAAGAATGTCCCAGTAAAGCCAGACGACAGCTGGCCGAGAGGAATCGGCCGTCGTCTTATTGTGGGATCACCATTCGAGCCTCGTAATCGCAAAGTTTCGCTGGAAAAAGCGATTTAGCTCAACAATTATGAATCAAGAGTCTCCTCGATGCCTAAATCTATTCGCATCATCGTAAAGCCTAATTGACAAATCGTCGCAGCCTTCTTTCGTAATAGAATTAGTTTAGCGTCGTTTTACGGTCTTGTTCTTGTGTTGTTAGGGCGACCTGTATGAGGGCATCTTGCTCGAAGTCCTTGACAAGAGTAGTCATGCTACTTCTCAGCGCCGGAACGTGGACTCGGAACGTTCGAAGTCATTTCGTCAGCCTCTTAGATTTGTCGATTTGAGAAAGTGTAGCTTGGAGCTATGAACAGCAAGACTCACTGAAGTTGTCGGTGAAAGGTCTGGGATTGTACCAAGTCCGAGCTCCTATTAAATCCCTTTTAAACGACAAGCTTTAGGCGACTGCTTTTTACGACCAGAAAAGAGTAATTCACTTCTGTGAAATGAATTCACCATATTTAATTTAAAGTAATTACATATTCTTCATGAACTTAAACGGAATTGGGTGAATAAACCTCATATAACTGATTTACTGGAGGTCTCGAAACCCTACTTATAAACGAAAAATTAGTAATTCATTAGCACCATCCTTCTATGGCCCTACAGGAGTTGTTGGCGATTCTAGTTATGAAGATTCGAAGAGGCGGGTTGATTCTGCATTGAACTCCACTGTGACATGTATTTCAAAAGACCGTTCACATCGGAGCTATATGCATCTGTGGCCTAATCCCGTCGTCAGTGGCCACGGCAAGATTGCCACTAAAAGTGTAAGGGCTAAGAAGAGAATAAATCACTCGAAAGACATGACTTTCTAAACAATCTGCATTCTCAGCTCTACCATGCTTCCAATCCACATGAGATCAAGTTTAGGTTGAAGCCGCAACCAAGTCGGAATGGTTAAATTAAAACCTACCCTTTACTTCATCGTGGGTGGATTCCATGCTGAGGGTCTGAAACGTCCTTTGTCGGTATCAATTGAAGTACCGGAAATTTGAGACCGTCATGAGTAGAACAGCTTCAGAGGAGAGGAAAAGGAGTGACTGTCAATGCGATGATCCCTTTGATGGAGTTTTGAATATTGGCGATGTAAGTAGTTTTAGAGCTAATTGAAGCTGAACTTAGCCAGTCTAGATCATTTTGGGTGAATAAATTACTGATAGTTCAGTTTTTCGACAATAAAATGACGATGTCATTGGAATTCACTTGGCCTTGCCTCCCAAAAAGTTACTCCATCCGGACAAAACGACAGTTTTAACCTAGTCTCGTCCTCACCAATACCGACAGCTGAATTTGCTACCGGATCTGGAGTGCCCTAGCGACGTTTCTTCTCCAATACAAGGCCACATGTGCCAGCGCGTCTCATGACAAATACAAGATTTAAGGCAAGTCGGGCTTTACCCAAAAGCAAATTTAATATTGGTATTGTTGATTAAATAAACATTTGTTTGGCATTGCAATTTTCTGTGCAAGTAGTTTTCGAGACCATCAGCGATTCTGGAACAAGAACTTGGTCATTTGGGTCACTGATGGGACCTAATCTAGGTCGAAACTGCAGTTCAACCTGTATTAGAATACCTATCGATAGTAAAGTCTGAGCACAATTTAATTGTATCTTAAGACATGCTCATCTTATTATTGGGAAATTCCACCTTCAGTCCTTAATTTACCTTATGTGGATTTGGGTAAAAAAGAGTTCAATAAGCTGTAAATAGCTATTTGACTGTCACTAAGGGCCACATTTGGTCATTTACGGTGAGGCAAGATTGATAAGTCAATTTGCTACGATGAACTGACGTTAAGGACTCATGGCGGCATGGAATGTCTTTGGCCCTGTTTCCCAGCAGATCATCTTCCAAAGTTGAATGTCGTTTCAACTTGGCTTGGGTCTCATCAAACCGCCGGCTAGATTCGAAACCGGGTGGTACAGCGGAGTTTTAACATCACTTTAAGCGACCGAATTTGATACAAGTTCTCGTTCAGGCTCCAATGATAGCCTCGAAGCACATTGTCCACGTATGCATTGTTTTCACTTAAGGCTCTAAAGGACCGTTTCAATGAAATTCTGCGAAATTTAACACAAACATAAAGCCTTTTCTTCAATTCTTTATAGGCCGATTCGTTATCATGCAATAAATACATCATTCCGAAATGAAACAGATAGACAATTTTCAGGCCTCTGGGAGTGGCAACAATACCACTCCACCGGAAGTGTTAGCGGGTAATAGGGCAGATGCCACATTCAAGGGAGGCTTGACCCTTTTATATACCAAAAGCAGTTGGGTTTTGAGGACAAGGTAACTAAAGCAAGATATGTATCACAAAAATTATGGCAGAATAACGACAACAATCAGCCTTTTCTACTAAATTTCGCGAATGATGCATTGCTAACTAACAGCTAAAGTTGAATTTTTGCGATTAGTTAAACTCATCACTGACAATTATTATATTCTGTATGAGGTTGATCAAGAAAATGTATATAAATCACCTAAGTTTGCCAAAATGATAAAGTCTTTATGGAAGCTGTATGCAATTCCAATAATGACTCTTCTTAGGCTCAAATTTTGTTCTTCATTTTCTCGTTGGTGGACTTTCAGAGCTACCCAGCTTGTCAGATTCATAATTGTGTTAAAAAATGGGAGAATTAATTTCATATAACTAATTTACTGTTAGTCTCAATGCTCTGCATATATAAGAAAAATAAGTAATGTAATCGATTGATATCGCAAAAATACTTTTATTTCATCGACAATCCCACTAAAGAATGTGATATGGGAAAAGGCATGACGTTCCTTGAAATTCACATCTTCCTTGTGAGCCAAAGGTACTTGTGACAATATGGCCGAGTGGTTAATGTGTCAAGTTCACATGCCTCACTGTCACGATTCAACTCCCGCTGGTGATGTTGATAGGACCTATGCGAGGTCGAAACTGCAGTCCACTGGTGACTGGATGAGAACTACTTTTGGGAAAGCAAGGTTATGTGATATTCAACAGAAACGTCAGCTCTACTCACCTCATTGTGGGAAAAATCAACTACCAGTCCTTCATCAGCTTAATCGAAATAGGGTTAATACATTACATATTAGTGATTTACTGGTAGTCTCGAAACTCTGCTTATATATTAAAAGCGGGGATTAGAAAAATCCCTCCAATGTACATTTTGCTTGATATGAAAGAATTGTTTCAAAATCGTGTAGGTCGGTTAAACTCAAGCCCAATGTGAGGCTTAGGCGTAGTGTTCGTCTGGGTCCGATAAACTTTTACTGGGCTTTCGTCTGTCATGTGGCTATAGACATTTTCAGACACTGACTCATTATTTACAAGACTTTATAATGGCATGTAGATACGAAGAGTAACTGGGTTTCGATGAATCTCCTGTGATAACATTGTTGGGGAGACGTTCATTTCGTTTAAAAAAACGAAAAAGACCATTGGCCAAACCATTATATGACTTATTTTTCGTATATTAGCAGAGTTTCGAGACTACCAGTAAACCAGTAATATCAGTTGT